AAAGAACATTTCAATATCTATCTTGAAGTGCAGTGCTGTCTGTAATAGGATAATATACACATGCCTACAAGGAAGACCAGTTAATGCCACTATTTTTCAAATTTACATACCAACTACTAAAGCCAGTGATTTTGAAATTGAAGAATTCTACCACCTTTTTCAGTTTGAAATTGATCAAACATGCAATCAAGAAACATTGATAATTACTATTGATAACAATGTGAAAATTGGAAAAAAAAAAAAAAAAGTGGAAGGATCAGTAGTTGGAAAATACGACCTTGATGATAAAAATGATTCAAAAAGTCATAGGATAGAATTTTGTAAGACCAATGCCATATTCATTGCAAGTACCTTTTTAAAACAACATGGTTGTTGTTGTTAAGTGTTTTTGAATCAGTTCTGATTCATAGTAATCTAGTATAGGGTTTCCAACGAGGGATTAGTAGGTTTGAACCATCAAGCTTGCCATTAGCAGTTCAGTGCCTATCCGACAGTGTCACACAAAGATGACTATACATACAGACCTAGTCATGTGGAAAAGATGGAAAAGCTCAATATCATCAGTCAAAATAAGGCCAAGGGCAGAAACATATCATCAATTGCTCTTTGTAAGGTCAGGCTGAAGCTGAAAAAATTAAAACACACCTATGAGAGTCAAAATATGAATTTGAATACATGCCACCTGAATTTAGAGACCATGTAAAGAACAGATTTGATGCATTAGATACTAATCAAAGCCCAGAAGATGGTGGGATGACATCAAAAAAGAAAAAACAGAAATGATGTCAGAAGAGACTATGGAACTTGCTCTTGAGCTTAGAGAAGCTAGAGTGAATGGAAGAAATGAGGAAGTGTGAAAGAGCTGAACAGAAAATTCAAAGAATAGCTTGAGAAGATAAAGTCAAGTATTATAATGAAATGTGCAAAGACCTGGAGTTAGGAAACTAAAAGAGAAGAACATGGTCAGCATTTCTCAAGCTGAAAGAACTGAAGAAAAAATCCAAGCCTTGACTTGCAATATTGATGGATTCTATGGGCAAATATTGCATCAAAAAAAGATGGTTGTTAATGAGTCTTCCTCCAATCCTGACTCCACGTTTTTCTTCACAGAACCTAGCTTCTTGTATTATTTGCTCAGCATAATGACTTAGGTTAGGTGCATCTTAGTCCTCAAAGTGACATCTTTGCTTTTGAACACTTTAAAGAGGTCTTTTGCAGCACATTTGCCCAATGTAAATTTTTGGACTGCTGCTTCCATGGGCATGGATTGTGGATCCAAGATTCATCTGACATCAGCAATGACAGTCGTCATTCCACATTCCCTTCTGAATCCAACTTGAATTTCTGGCAGTTCTCTGTAGCTGTACTGTGGCAATCATTTCTGAATTTATCTTCAGCATAATTTTAATTGCATAGGATATTATTGTTAAATAGTTTCTGAATTCTGTTGGATCACCTTTCTCTGGAGTGGGCACAGATGTGGATTTCTTCCAGTCAGATGGCCATCTAGCTGTCTTCAAAATGTCTTAACACAGATGAATGTACACTTCCAGCATTGCATACTTTTGTTGAAACATCTACATTTTCATCTCCATCAATTCCTGGAGCCTTGTTGTTTGACAATACCCGTCAGTGAAGTTTGGACTTCTTCCTTCAGTACCATTGGTTCTTAATCAGATGCTACCCCCTAAAATGAATGTTGACCAATTCTTTTTGGCATTGTGACTCTGTATTCCTTCTATCTTCTTTTGATGCTTCTTGAGTCATACAATCTTTTTGCCTGTTTGTTGTTGTTTGCTAAGTGCTACTGAGTTGGTTCTAACTCACAGCAACCCTGTACAGGGTTTCCAAAGAGTGGCTGGTGGGTTTGAACTGCTGACCTTGCAATTAGCAGTCCAGTGCTTATCCTACAGCACCACACCCACAGAATCCTTCAATATTGCAACTCAAGGCTTGGATTTCCTGTCACCCCATTCTACTACCCAACTAGGTTCTTTCAGCTTAAGAAATGGTTTTCCAACTCCAAGTCTTTGCACATTTCATTATAATACTTTACTTTTCTTTCTCTAGTCATCCTTTGAAATCTTCTGTTCGGGTATTTTATTTCATCATTTTTTTTCAGTCACTTTAGCTACTTATTCAAGAGCAATTCTGGATGCTCCACTGAAACCTGTGTACAATGGTGTTCGAAATACTGGTGGCATATTTTCCATAAGACAAACTAACAGATAAATGGTTAGATATTGGTATAAAGATAGACAAATAAAGTTCATAGACTTACACACATTTGGTTAGCTGATTTTCCACAAAGTCTAAATTTTATTCGGTGGAGAAAGGATAATGGTTTTTTTTTTTAAACAAGTGGAACTGGAATAATTACAAAAAAAAGAAGAACCTCAATCCATATCTCATATCATATGCAAAGATTATCCTTAGTGTGTGACATTGTAGGATAAGCACTGGATTGCTAACCACAACATCAGCAGTTCAAACCCACCAACTGCTCTCAGAAACCCTATGCAGGGTCACTATGAGTCAGAACTGAATCAACTGCACAAAACAACAGAAACAACATGCAAAGATTAAATGAAAATAGATCATAAACCTAAACATAAAGCCTAAAGGTATAAAACTTTTAGAAAAAAAATATAAGAAAATGTTTACCCTTGATTTAGGCCACAAAACCACAATCCACACAAGAAAATACTGACAAATTGTACTTAGAATTTCTGCTCTTTCAAAGACACTATTAATAAATCAAAGGAAAAAAGAAATAATAGAATGGAAGAAAACTATTGTAAATTTCCTATTTGATAATGGAGTTATATCCAAAATACATAAATATACACAAAATTGATTAAAACAGATGACTTAATTAAATAATCCAAGCAAACACTTTGAGCCACCATAGAAGACATACCAATTGTAAGTAAACCCAAGGAAAGATGCTCAAAATTATTATTCATGTGGAAGTGCAAGTAAAACCAGTGAGATACTACTACACATACCTTTTAGAATGACTAAAATTAAGATTGAGCACATCAAGTGTTGACGAAGATATGAAGCAATTATAAGTCTCTTATCTGCATGTGAGACTGTAAAGTAGTATAACCACTTTCAAAAAGAGTTTGGTAGCTTAAAAGATTAAACATTTACTTACCATGTGACCCAGCCATTCCTACCCAAGAGAAATGAAAGCAAATGTCCATATAATCACTTGTATTTAGCCATTCTTAGCCATTTTCTTTATAAAAGCAACACCACCACCAAAACCCCCCAAAATAATCCAGGCACCTATGCTATAGGAAAAAATCAACAATAAAAAGGTGTGAACTATTCATACATATAAGAATGTAGATGAATCTCAAATAATAATGCTCAGTGAAAGAAGCAGAGGAAGATAGTAGAAATTATACGTAACCCCTCCACCCCCGCCACTGCTATCTAGTCAATTCCAATTTATAGCAACTCTGTAGGACAGAGTAGAACTGTCCCAGAGGATTTCCAAAACTGTAATCTCTACAGAAGCAGACTGACACATCTTTCTCACTAGGAAAAGCTGGTGGGTTCAAACCACCAACTTTTCAGTTAGCAGCTAAACTCTTTAACCACGGAGCCACTAGTTTCCTTAGATACTGAATAAATCCATTTACATAAAATTCTAGAAAACCAAATTAACCTGTAGTGGTAGAAAGCAGATTGGTGGTTGACTGAGAGTTGGAAAAGCAAGAAAATGCATGTGGATTTATTGTTGTTGTTAAGTGCCATCGAGTCGGTTCTGACTCATAGCGACCCTGTCTAGGGTTTCCAAGGAGTGGCTGGTAAGTTTGAACTGCTGACCTTGTGGTTCAAACCCATCTCGTGGTCCAGTGCATTATCGTACAGCACTACACCACAACTCCTATGTGGGATTAAGAAGGGCATAAACAAATTTTGGGAGTTCTGGTGTGATGCTGTGGGTTAATGTGTTGGACTGTAAGGTCAGTTTTAACCACAAGGTTGGCGGTTCAAGTTCACCAGCCACTCCTCGGAAACCCTGTGCAGGGTCACTATTAGTCAGAACCAACTAGACAGCACTTAAAAACAAGAACAACCAAAAGAAAATTTGAGGGGTGATGGATATGTTCGTTAGTGTATAAGTATACCAAAACTTAACTTTAAAAATGTGCATCTTATTGAATGTCAGTTATACCTCAGTAAAGCTGTTAAAGCAAGAGAAAGATGAGGCTTTCTGCTCCTGTAAAGATTTACATCCTCAGAAACCTATACAGAGTCTCTATCTGTCGGAACCAACTCTACGGCACACCACCAAAGCTGTGAAAAACGTTGTCATTGCTGCTAGTTGTGGGGAGTAAAGAAGGGGTAAGTCTGTATGAAGAGTGAGAAAGTATCTATATTTACATGCCTTAAGCATAGGAAAAAACTTACCTTATTACTTTTTTCTAACCTTACTGAGTCTTGCTGTCTTATGACTGTCTGAGAGAAGAGAATGCTGTATAGCCTCAATTGTTTAGGGTGTATTTGACCATTGTATTAGTTGAACCTTTTATTTTTTGATCCTTGGATTCCTAATGGCCAATAAACTCTTCCCCAATGAAGAGTTCAGGAAAAATAAAAAGGACTAGAATTCAAAACATTCCATGTTATTTCTTTTTAAAGAGTTATTTGATGAAAGCCCAGAAGGGAACGAATGAAAATTATTGGACAGTATTAGATATTGGTATTAGCTATGGATTTTAATCTTTCTTTCTATCCCAGTTACTCAGTAGCACATGTGATTTATTTCTTAAAAGGCTTGAAATGGAAGTGAAAGAGACTGATATCAAATTGTAGCATAAATGATTTGATTCTTAGTCTAGGTTTTCAGAGAGTCAGGTGAAAATATTATTTGAAGTCAGTTACTTCAAACATAGTCAAGTATCATGAAAATAAAGTGAGGGAAATAAAAAAAAAAAGTTGCAAATTGTTAACTTTTGATTCACTACCTACTTACTACTTACCTTTTTGGCTCGACAGAGCTGTGCTTGATCAATTCTAGAGATGACATCCTGCGATGAGAATGGGATCTCCATTGTAGGGACCACGGGAGCATCAAGGACATTTTTGAACCCACTTGATGTGATGGTAGAGGATTCTTTTTCTGATTCAGATTCACTGTCTGCCTCACTTAACGCTCTGAGAAACATTTTGAACAGTTAGGTGATTTTCTTTTATTTATCCTTTTTAAAAGAATATAGACAAATGCTAATAAAGATATCAGCTGGGAAGCTAGTAGAGGTCCTTCTGCTCCCAGATATTCTGGTTTCTCTTGCTACTAACTGGTTGTTACCTATAGTATTCTAATCCTGATGATGTCATACTAGATCCATTGTGACATTATCATTGACTCAAGCATTTAAAGAGTACTTACTATATGCAGAGAATTAGGCATTCTTTGTGCTGTGATGGTAGAAAGGTGAAGAGGGGAGGGAGGGAGAAAATAATAGGCAACAGGAATGCTAAAAGGTCTAGAATGGCCCCACTTCAATGAGCATTAAATCTAGGTTTTAGAATTCAAGATCCAGTGTAGCAAAACATAACTCCTGCTCCTTCTCTCTTCCTGGGATTTTGCCTAAGAATTTTTAAGCCTGTGTTACAGGTTCTTTAGTTCCTCCTTAACTTTTCCAAGACTTGCAGTAACTTGGAAGATGTTGTTTGAAGATCACATTCTTTGCATTGCCTAGTTACTTGATTTTTTTGTTGTTTAAGGAACCTAACTGAAGAAGGCTTTGAAGTTCCATAGTTGGCTCAGGAAATTGAAGGAAACTCTAGAGGTTGTATTTGAACTGAAGGAGGAAGAGTGTTTTGGGCAGTTCCTTTGCAGAGGAGGTGAAAGAGCTTAGTAGACTGAGCAATTAAAAACCAGGGTGGTTTTGTTGGTTATGTAGTTTTTTGTTTTTTAATTTTTTTTTTTTT